AATCTACACTCAGAGAATAAACTGTGTACAGATTGTAAAGTAATATTTGAAGATCCTTAAAAAAAAAAAAAAACTGCACCGGAATAACAATAAGATCCAGTCGATCGTTTTGTCGATCACTCGGAACGTCCATGCAGTAGTCAAATATTATATTAAGCCAAATGAGATAAGTGATCGTCGATGAAAATTCGTCAATTCTTTTTTTTATTGTAAAATGATCCCGTGCAAAGATCAATCGTGCCAGCGATTTCGCGATGACCGAGAAATACCAATATCGGATAATATTATTATGTATTTCGCGCTGGTACGACGTTAGCGTGGACTCTAGGGGGCCTATGCAGGCAGGTGTATATGCACTTGAAAACTTTCTCGACGGGTCCGCAACGTGATAATAATACAGTAACGCGGAGGACACATAAGTTCGGCTTTTGCGCGATATTCCACCGGGTGTAACACCTACGTGTTAACGGGCCTGTGGTTATTCTCAGCGGACGAACCATTGCCGAACGTGAGCCGCAATTCGTAACGTCTCCAGCAGCGCCAGGGTTTCTAGTCATTCGGTACGAAATACACGTATAGATAATATAACAATATTGTTATTATTAATACTAGTATTAATATAGGAGAGTAAAGGGGAAAAAGTTTGTTGAGCCGCCCGGTCGAGGGAATCGTAGGTATAATTGCGGCGGAGTCTCTTGTGCGGCTAATAATATAATATATAACCTATCCGCAGCAATGAGTCACCGATTTAATAATATAATCCCGAATGCGGGTAAAGTAACAAATTCGGTATATTGTGTTATTGTTCAGTGGGAAGGGCGGACTGGGGGTGTTAACTCTTTTAATAAAAAGTATTCGACCAGAAAAATTCAAATAATTTCGTAATTTTTAATCGATTTAATTGAACCCTTTTCCGGCAGTTTTTCAAGACGTTTTTAAATTTATAATTTCTAATAATCTAACACATTCGATGGCACCCTTCTCTCCAAGCATATTAATATGCATATTATTGAGTCAAATTAACAAAACAATATTTTGATACGATTATATTCAAATAGCCAGTTGCTATATTATAAACATAGATAGATATTATGTTTGAAATAAAAGAAAAAAAAAATTTTAATTAATATTAAGTGGGATAATTCGAAATAACCGTATTGTTTATTCGGCTGGTGTGAATGAAAAAATAAAGTTAGTTAATATTGAAGGTCAAAACCTGAATTATGAATTAAAATAAACTTGAAATAAACATTTCAATCTGTGTATACGACCAGCCTTGTCCGATCTTTATTACGCGGTGAAGTATGTAGAACATTGGGATTTTCCAGAAATTTTTACGGTTTCTGATTTCGTGTATATCTAATGATTTTTTTTCCATCTATAATCTACGATGATGATGTATCAACGATAGCAGCTCTAATAAAAGAGTTTGACGACCATGAAAAAATTACGTTGGTATACAATTAATACCTATTATTATCTTACGGCGAATGATTAGTGAATATCTAAGTCGATTCGGTGTTATAATAATACGTAAACATATTCAAGGCATTTTTTTCTAGGAGAGAATTCAGAATTTGAATTGTAACTAGGTAATATATACACGGTGTTTATAACGGGGCAAATGTATAATCCAAAACCATCTCATTTCTGCTCCAGCGAAAATCGGAAGAAGAACTGTACATAAAAACTAATACGTATACAAAAATATACGATAAAAACTTGACAACAAAATATATTATACCTACCTACTTATACATTACATAAGTTATAACGGTAGACACGTAATAACTTTTTTAAAACATTCAGATTTATACAGACACTTTTTTCGGGTTTTTTATAAGCTTATCATTGACATAATACATCTCTTTTCTCATTTAATATACCGAAACTTAAAATCGACTGCAGTCGGGATCAGGAAAAGTTAAAAACTTGTGAATATAGGTATACTTTGTTGATTACGTTTTATATTATAATACGGTTTATAAGATAGCTGAAAAAAAAAAAACTGTGATCACAAGTAGGTACAAGGATTTATCTTTATTAAAAAAAAAAAAAAAATACATTCAGTGCTTGTTATAGTTTTTAACCACAAACATATTGTACTTGATTGAGAGACAAAATTGTTTAACCTCTATTTCCAAAAACTGATATTTTTTTTTTTTAATTCTGAGGGGAGCAATGTTTTTCATTGCTATTTGTTTGTTATTTGTAAACCGCTTTTCTACCAGATAACATACTTCAATTATAAATTCAAAAAGACCATTTGTGTTGAATTTTTAAATCATTCGGTTTATTTAAGCGGTCATTTTTTGATATTTTTATAATAATTGGAAAAAAACGGCTAAAGACTTGAAAAAAAAAAGAAATAACGTTTTTAATTTATCTTAAATTATTATATTTGTATTTTCTACCTGGTATACAATTTTAAATATGAAGAGTAGCACCTGAAAGACAATATTGTCTATTTTGTAAATTTGGTATCCGTTTTTTGATTTTTTTTGTCTTATTATTAATAATGGGGTAAAACTTGAAAATACATAAGAAAAACATAAAAATTTTCGGAAACAACAGAGTGATTAAAATTTGTTTTTAGATTCGGAGTGTAGTGTGGAATAGATTAGATTTACAATAATGTTTTTTTTTAAATTTTTTTTTTTATACCTTATACAAAATTTTTCCTAGAGAACATGCTCTGGTATATCAAGTGTAGCACTTTTTTGAAAGAAAATTTTATCTAGTTGAAACTTTAAGAAAGTATTTTTTTATTTTCCAAGTGGTTTTCATATAGTCGGGAAAAACGTATGGAAAAACATACAAACGTAAAGCGTACGATTTCGTTATTTTCAATTTTTACACTTTATGTTTTCTACAAGAAATATTGCTCGAATAGAAAAACCATGAAAGATTTTATTTTATCTTTTAAATTTTTTTTTTTTAATTTTGGTGAACAAAAAAGTCGTTTTTTTTATTTTCTCTGTAATTTATTTAATAATTAAGCAAAACCAAAAAAAAAAAATAGCAAAAGTATGGGAAAATTTACAAAAATATTTCTTTTATTATTTTTGGATATGTTTTTTTGTCGTGATACAGTTAAAAATATTCGTAGATATTTAAAATTTTGATAAAAACTCAAATTTAATTTTGTAGACTTCGTAAAAATGTATAAACATTTGAACCATTTTTGATCTATTTATAGACCTTATCATGTTTTACATAATTTGTATGCGATAGGTACTCTGTAGATAAAATTGTTTAACTTAACGAAAATGCTTGAAAACTTATCAGGGGTTAATTATACATTTTACTTGTTAGTCAAGTCAGTTCACTTTAAATTGTTTTTCGTTAGTAATAATTTATCGTTGCTTATACGTATAAATCAATTCCCTTCTATATCCTACCTTCCCAACTTCTTACCTACAACAGTGGCTCACCCACGGCGAGAAAAATGTCCGTCTTTTGTTTTGTTGTTAATCAGTTAAAAACATCCGTAAATAGCTGACTTTTTCATAGAATACGTATATTATTTTTTCCTAGACGTGGTTAATATTTCCCAATATTCATTGATAAACTGGTTTTTTATTTAGTTTTTACTCAGTAATCTCTGTAGACAAAATTGTTTGACCAAACAAAAATGCTTGAAAATTTCAAATAAGATTCATTATTAATTGTACTTAGTGGTAAAAAAATAGTTGAGCGTAATGTATCAAATTTTACCGAAAATCGTAAAAATTACGGCATTTCAAAATATGTATAATTTTTCATTAGCAATGTTTAATCGTTTTGTACAGATATACATTAAATTTCCTCCCTTACCTTCTCAACTTCTCACCTACAACAGTGGCCCACCCACCGTGTGAACTATGACCGTCTTGTTTTTTAGTGTAACTCATTATGATGCTATGATTACAAACATAATATAGCACATTAACTGTTTGTAATCATTGATGTTATAGTTATTGAATTCCAGCCGTTTACGAATATTGTTTTAATATGTCTCAAATATTTACCAGTATACACAGTTGCATAATAAATATTATACATCATTTCATACTGTATTATATTTTTAAGTATGTTTAACACAAATTGGCGTGTACATATATAATTAAATATAAATTACGATAGGAAAATCTCGGTCCCGGTGGTTTGAACATATGTTATTATAACCAGACCTTGGAATGTCCAATTAAACCGCCAACTCTTTCATGAACTTATTCCATCATCATGAAACTAAACTCAATTCATGTAAAAGTTTATTTGTTTTATCTTTTTAGTGCATTTGGTTGGTTCAAGTTATTTATAAATTAATTTCAGTATATAAAAAGGTCATTTTACACTTGATTTTTACTTACTTTGCATAGTTTCTTTTACGGGTATCTGATATATTATAATGTAATATTAATATCTTCATAATCATACGGGAGCATTACAATTTAATTTACAATCGTTTTAATATAGCTAAATCACGGAACTTTCATAGAATTTAAATTTCCGTGGTTATTTTCATGTCAAAATCATGGACTGAGAACTTAATGGTTTTAACATTTCCGGTTAGAGTTCAGGTTTTTAAAATATTTTTTGAAAGGTTTAGGTTAAATTTCGGTATTTTAGGATGTTCAAAATTTAGGTATCCAATATTTTATGTTGGTATATATTTTTTCAAATAAAAAATGTTAAAACATGTATACAGTATGTGAAGGGGCGGCCTCCGTCCGAGTATATAGGGTAAGTTAATTAAGACATTTGTTCTAGGCTCTATGCGAATTTTAGGTTCCCGTGCTTATGTCATTAAAACTAGCTCAATAGTTAAATTTAAAAAAAAATATTGTTACATTTTAGTCTTTAGATAATATCTATTTTTCTTTATTTTACTTTTAAATAAAATTGCATTAAAGATAATTAAACATAAATATGATTTACTTATCATAATAAAACGGTACTTCGGTATTAATTTTTATTTAAATCGTTTTATAGAATGAAATAACTAACAATATAAAAATCATTGATTAGACTATAATATAATATATTAAATACATGAGGATATTACAATAATAGAATGACAATATAGGGACATATATTAAAATATAGGTATTTTAACCTAATTAAAAAAAAAAGACAAATGTGATTTTTTCCTTCATTCTTTCATTTAGGTATCTACTGTGAAAGTTTATATACGATACGTGTGGTTTTGTAATGTGTACTGTGTATCTTTGTAAGTTTTTACTAAAAATTTAAAAATCCCTGTGTCATTTTAAAAATAACTTAAATTTGTTCATATAAATTATCCGTTATTGTTGTTATCGTGTGTCATATGCATTAATATTACATAATATTATAAAACTGGTCGATTGACCGTCCTTGTCAACCATCACGGGCACTCACATACGGCCGATGTTGCCTGAAATAACATTACATAGATACCTTATATAAAATATAATAATTCTTGTTTCTAAGCAAATAAAATATATATATATTTAGTTTAAATGGTAAAAATTATTCTTTAAAAAATAATTATTAGTTTTTACCTGACTAATCACTATTCTAAAACTGAAAAAACCTAAAATACCTGTATTTCTTTGGTTTTGTATAGGGGTTTCGGTTTTGATTAGGGTGTTTTACAAATATAAAATACAGGTTACGGTTATATTCGATTCTTTAATTTACAAAAGGTTATGGGTTCTATAACCAGTTCTTTTTGGTCCGGTCTTAGTCCTTAGTCAAAATCGCTAAAATTATTTCCTAAATTATCGTTGATATAGCATCAATAATTTAAGATCTAAAAATGTATAATCTGAATTAAAACAAACGACCCAATTAAAAAAGTGCACATACATTGAAAATATGAACTTATTAATAAAAAAATAAAAAATTATATTCAAAAAAATGCATGTTTCGTTTATACATTTTTAATTTTGAACACTTTTACTTATTACTAAGAATAATAAGTTACATAATAAGGAATTACATCATAGGGATAATTCTTTATCTTCTATAATTGGATATTAATTTTTTTCAAGTCTATTTTTTATACATCAAAGTAACTATAACTAAAAAACTATTAATCAGTTGACATAAATGAATATGAATATGAATATTTAAATGATATATTAAATGTTTAGAATAATGTTAATTACGAAATTTCTATTTTGAAAATTTTAAAAACCAAAGTTATTTTTTCATAGACTGAAAATGAATGAATTTTTTTTTTACATTTGTGTACCTTTGCCACAAAAACCGATTGAAAATTTTTTTTTATAAATGATTATTAACTGAGTTATTACATTCGGATAACACACCGTAGCACATCAAATTTAAATGCGTACATCAAATAATATTAATGACATTACCTTTTCACTGTAGATGGTACTATAAATACAATCAATTTGTTAAGTTTTTTTTTCTAATACTGATGCAGAGAACTAGATACTTCGAGTGATCGAATTGTAGTTATTTTCGAAAAACGCTTTTTCGATGTTAGTAATTATAGTTTAAAAATACGTAGAATAATAGAATCATCAACTAATACAATAGTATATGAAATTCTTATTCTTGTTACACCGTTGTTACTGTGATTTGTATTTGAAATGTATAATTCATCTTTTAGAATTGATTGTGCACTCCATAACCATAGAAAATATCAGTGCGCATCGTACATTTGCAACTTGAATATTTTTGAAGAACAGACTGCAGCTAGAGCTCCGAAGGGAATATACTAAATAATTGTTTTATAAAATTAGTAAAAATAAAACGAAACATATGACTTATAATAGTTTTATAAATTTATTATCTGTTTACCCATACCTCAGCTAAGAGTCAATTTTTGATTGCGATAATTTATCGTTTCTTTTGTTTTACAAACTAAATATTAAAATACAACCTAACATATCTTAAAATATATACTTTCCCAACATGTCACTTAAAACATAGGTCTATGAAGTATGCCCACCTTCTCTTTTTTAATACAGTTTATGTCTTATATTAGTATTATTTCGAATTTGCTTCATACATGTTTACATGCAGCCTATGTGCCGTAAAATTATCGATCTTTGTAGGGGGAGGGGGTCGTTCATCTTCAAAGCTAAATTATTTCTTTGCATCTGTCGATCGATCTGCAACGCCATGTATATGATATCGTTAGTAAAATGAAAAAATATGTTTAATTGAAATCGTGTTACGAGTATGATGATATTTTGTTAACAAACAGAATATCTCAAGGATAATATGATATGGTAAAACGGTTGAAATTTGTTCTATAAACTCATCACGTTTAAGAACGTATTATGTAATAGTACTGGGGTAAGGATATTTCTTCCAACCAAGAAGGTAAGATTGTTAAACATACTTACATATATTATAATAATATTATAATTATTTACGCAGACATGAGTGTGGGTAATTTTGTCTAGCCCTTTGCTACCTAATGTCCTCGCTCTTATGTATATTCAATAGGTTTAATTTATAATATTATAAACAGTAGTTTCCCTTGCATGATAATAATATTGAGAAACGCTTTGTAACTGCAGCATACTATAATTTATGCAGGTCTTTAATATTTCAGTAAATTATTCGTATGATTAAACAAGATAACAACAAAAACCAAAATATACTGATACTGCTGATAGATAGGCTATTGTTATATATGAGAAGGAAAGTAGGTTATAGGCATAGAATTTGGGAGGCTATAGGGCTATACTTACCCCAAATCTTCTTTAGTCTCCCTCAACATCTCTTACAACTTCTCTGAAAATGAGCATGTAGTAAAATGTTTTTTCGTTTCCCTTTTTTTTGGAAAAAATATACGAAACAAGTGTAGTTTTTAGCCCCTTTAGCTGCTCTGCATTTTAAGCCTATGGAAAAGGTAAAGTAGATAGTTATTTAAAATATTTAAGTAGAGAATGAATTGCCAAATTCGGTCAAACATGTTTTGAAATGCCATGATATTAACGATTTCCGTCAAAATATAAAATTTAATTGCTTATAAACAATTTAAAAAAGAAGTCATTTTTTTTTTTTTTTTTACTACATTAGATCGATATTTTTACCATCAAATACAACTTAATCTTGTGTTCATTTTTAAACATTTTGACTGGGTCAAACAATTTTATTCGCATAAATCAAAAAAAAATACGTGAAATGCTGCTTTGTATTTAAGATATTTTGTCAAAATTTTAACTATTAATGCATAGATATAAAAAAAAAAACTATTAAGTAGATTAAGTTCTCCTTTTGTTTTCTTTGCTTAACCATTTAGTTCGACTTAATGTGAATTTCGAGTAAATTTTTAAACATTTCTGCTTGGCCAAATAATTTTATCCTGCTCATAAAACCAAATAAAAAAATGTCAAATGTCATTAAATAAATAGTTAAACAAATCGCCAGAATATTTTGAAAATTGTACGACTTTTAAATTTCAGATGAAATTATTAGAACTTATTAGTTCATCAAAAAAAAAAAAAAAAAAAAAAAAAATATGAAAATAATTAAACCGTGTATGCCGTCCATAAAAAAACACAATAATAAAATTAAAAAAACACCTCACGCAACGTTTAATTTCTGTGATTACGGTAATAATAGTTTCGTAATATATAGTTTGAAACCCCTCCTTCCCTTGAAGAAATTTTACTTGCGTCACTAATATAATATTATTTATAACTTTACTACTTATGCATTTAAGTTTTAGTATTCGGAATTACCAAAGGAACTAATTATAATAAACGCGGTAATTAAATGTAAAAATCAAATAAAAATTAGTTAGATAATATCATTCTGTACAATATTTTCGTAAACATATAGGTGTATCAACTGGATTTTATCGTTTATTCATAATAAATGGTCAGTTCAGCCTAGGTGTATAATAATGTGCATGTGCAATATAACTATAATGATTATTTTAGATTATAGTGCAGTTATAATTGCACGTTAACCGTCTGGACCTTCTGAAATAATAATACGATTCACATTCCTAAATGCGTTTTATTGCTTAATCTTGTTGATATATTATAATATAATACATTAACAAGATTCTCAAAGCCTTCAAAACAAAAACATACAAATACTTACTTGAATTTCGTAATTGGTTTTCATATAAGTTTGTACGTTAAAGAATATATATATATAAAACATAGTTTACATAAGTAAAATTACTGATGTAGAACTACTTACCTGTAATAATCACCTTTTTGTATCAACATGTTTTATATATGTGAGTAGGTACTGTAATACAAATAAAGGATTCATTGTGTGTAGTCAAAAATAATATAGATACTATTGTAAATAATCAGTACTCGAATTAGAAAAATAAAAGAGGAGGGACTATAAAACTTAACAAATTTGTATTCCAATGTAATTATTGAACTTAGCTTAACCCATGGGGGCTTTTCACAGATGAAAAAAAATAAACATTTTGTAAAGCCATAAGCTTCTTCATTCCTCTTAGAATCTAAAAATATACAATTTATTATTTATGCTTTTATTTAACTTCATAGATAAATATATAATATAAATATATGTTATTTGAATTATATGTATCCTTAGAAAAGTATATATGCATCTAGAATTAGAGATAATAGATCTTTCGAAGACTATGAAGGAAAAGTTTACAAATGTGTAAAAAAATATAGTATAAAAAAAATGACGGATATACTTCACACGATGGCACACTATTGCTGGTGAAAATTTAGGATGGTAGCAGAAAGAGAGAAAATTAACTTATATCTGTACGCAACGATTAAATATTGTGAACGAAAAACGAATCTGAGCAGAATTTCACTATACATGTTATAAAAGGCTGTATAATTTACGATTTTTATCAAAATTAGATATTCAAATTATAATAAAAATACATTTTGCATATTCAATTTTTTTTTTTTTTATATACAACAAAGTACGAATTTAAACCTCCTATTAAATTTTTCAAGCATTTCTGTTTGGTATAATAATTGTATACATAGTGTATCTACTGAAAAATTACGTACAAAATTCGCGAAATTAAAATGTCTATAAAAAGCAAAACAATGGTTAAAATATTTTTTTAATTTTACCACGTTTAGGAAGGGCAAAAATAAATGTTCTGACCAAATGCCAAGTCTTTACTTCTTTTTTAATAACTTAATTAAAAAACAAATTAATTATAAATAATAAATTTCGTAAATTTTCCCATTTTTCTTACGTTTTTCCAATTTATTATAGAAACCCCTAAGAATATCAAAAAATAACTTGCGTAAGTTAATACTCAGATAAAATTTCCTTTCAGGACAGATACTACACTTAAAAATCGAAGCAATATTTCTCGGAAAATATTTGTTTACAGTTAAAAAAATAATAATTAAATAAACATCATTGTAAAACCAATAAATTCCTCGCTCGGCTCAGAAATTAAAATAAAAGAAGAGAACTGTTAGGTTAAAAGAAAATGTAAATTTGATGAAATAAGATACAAAATAATTACAACAGACAAAAAGATATTTTTTAATGCATGTATTCTGTGTTATTTTGGTCAATGGATAAATTAATTGCCGAACTTACAAGATGCAGCAGTTTATATATAATGATTTATATGTCAAATTTAATTTTCTCTTAAATTTTGGTACTTTTAATGAGAAAACTATATATCATAACTATATCTTTTTTGTTCAATTTGGCGTAAAAAACGATGCGCAAGAACTTTGTAAGATGTACAGAATTAACAGATGTAAATTATCCAAACGTCACAATGCTCTTGAAGCATTGAAAATAATAAAATCATAATATTTTTATTCAACATTAGAGTTAGATAGATTAAACGCGAAATCAACAATACATGTAGAGTCTGAAATACTTCTGAGTATAAATTATGATGATTTAATCGACGATTTAGCATCAAAACAATTCGTCGCAAAATGTTATAGATTAATACACAAGACTTGTTATAAATTTAAATCAAATTAAATTAACTTAAGTTGAATATCTAAGTGTTGCGAATTATTAAATATGTTTTTCACATATTACTTTTTAGTGTTTATTTCAATTGATTTAATCTGTTCAACTTTCAAGTTTTTAATGAATACAATTTTTTTCTGATAGGAGTAGCATATTTAAAAAAGGCGCAACTGCTATAAATCCGGACCTGTCTATCACCTATTTACTGTTTAATTTATAACTGCTATATCTGCTTTTATGACTGGCAAATTAATAAAATTTCCCAAAGTGGAAAAAAAAAATAACAACTGCCGTTCAATCGAAATAACAACACGAGTCTCAGCCTGCCATAATGTTCAATTCCACGTCATCTCAGTTAAAACGTATAATATATTATAACGTCGGAGATAATAATCGGAAATTCCGAAAAAAATTTAATTTGATTCGGTTCGATTAGCACACTAATTAGTTCCCTTCCACTCGAAGACATGGAAAATCATTTTCGATTCCCTACCGCGGTACCTATATAACCACAGACCACTACCGTTTACTACACAATTCGCTCTCGTTGATCATAGCAACTATAAGTAAGACGTTAACGATAGCGCATACCAAGTGCCTATAATACATTTTTTGTGCTTTTTAAACGCGCCCTAAAATCTAAAAAAATGATCAAAACTTTGACCGTTGTCTTTTGCATCGCTGTGACCATGGCTATGGCCAAGCCAGCTTCTTACACAACCAAATTTGACAACGTAAACATCGACGAAATTTTAGAAAACGACCGTTTGATAAACAACTACTTCAAATGTCTTATGGACACGGGAAAGTGTACCCCGGACGGGGAAGAACTTAAACGTGAGTATTTAAAACTTAAAGTTACTAAAAAACATATAGACTCTTACACGTTATTATAGTATCTCGTATCTAACGTATAGTACAATAATTTAATTACATTATTTTTTAAATCATTTACGATACTTATAGATATAACAATTATTAATATTTTTATTTATTTTTTGAAGCGAATTGCTCGGGTTAAATAACTCTGAAGAAATCAATCAATATATTTATTTATTGTTTAATTTTGACAATTTTTTCTTATTTATTAATTTTCTGAAAACAATTTATTCTAATACAATCCGATTTATGTCTACCGGTAACCTAACCTAACTTAACCTAACCGGTGGAAACTATAAACGAAATTCATTTGGCTTGATAGTCAAGTATATCAGTAAGAACTCGACCAACTAAAAATAAATAATTAATATAAAACACCAGAAGATGCTCAAGATTTCGTAGTGTGAGAGTATAATAAATGAAGATGCGTTAAAAAAAATGTTTAAGAGAAAAAGTATTAATAATATGATGGGTCACTGTATGATTGTACCGTAATAACTTGTTGAAGATTATTATTGAAGGTTATGAATGGTAAAACCGGAAGAGGAATCCTGTAAAGATGGAAGATGCACCACAAATTCTGAAGGATATGAGAGTGAAAAATCATTAAAAGCGAAAGAAACGTAGTAATGACAGAAAAATATGGGGAGTTACGGTCAACCAATCGAAAGATTGGTTATAGACCAAAATAGGGATTATAATAAAATACTACATTTTAATTTGCAGTGCATAATAACAATTTTTTAAATATATTTCTTTTATACATGCCGATAATTCATTTTAAATACATTTATTTTTTTTGGTCAATAAAGCATAGGTATACTATCTATTATTCCTATTATATTTATTCATGTTACATAATATACTACGGAATGTTTCAATAAAATTTAATGTACTTTTTTTCATGTTTTCCAATTTCGTAGTAAAAATGACAATACATAATTAATTAGATAGGTGTCATTACAACTTGTTAAAGTTAAAATCCAAAAACGCGGTTTCAGATTTACAGAACAACAAAAAAAAAAAAAAAAAAAACTGTATAACAAAGTATTTTTAATTTATTATAATATTAACTGTTTTATACTTGAATTGTGCAGGGAACTTACTGGACGCGGTACAAAATAAATGTGCAAGCTGTTCGGAAAAACAAAAACTGGGCTCTGAAAAAATTATTAAGTTTTTGTATGAAAAGAAATCCGATCTCTGGAAGCAACTCGAAGACAAATATGATCCCACGAAGATATACAGACAACAATATGTGGAAGAAGCGAAGAAATTAAACATTGAAATTTAGATCAAAATTAGTGTTGCAATTTTATATTGATCAAATAACAATAAAAATAATATTGTATAATTTATTTTACCAAAATAATACAATAATAGTATAGTACATACCATTTATATAAATGAGCAATATTTACCAAATTTTTCCATGTGAAAATGTACACCATAATGTTTATAAACAAAGAATAAATCAATTTTTTACATATTTTATGAGTTAATATTTAAAAATGGTTTTGTCTGTTTGAGTTTTCTAACATTTGTCTTATACTTTGAGAGTCTTTTAATGTATTTGAATACTTTTGACTAAGCATTGACTAAGCATCTTGGACAATCTTTGTAATTGGATTTCAAATAATTTCATGCAAATACTTTTCTTAACTCAAAATAACTATTCGTCGCATGTCGGATCGTTTTTTTTTGATAATTAATTAATAATAGACGTATTATTTTAAAACATAATGTTTTTGCTCATAAATGTTCAGAACACCCTATTGCCGATTTCTAATTTTTTTATTATTATCTATTAAAATTAACAGGTAATAGCAGTTGTCTAAAATGGTATGAATTCGGTTTAATATGATTTTAGTAACGCGACTAAGAAACGGTACCAAAACCTAATAGGTATTCAATTTATCAATATCACTTATAAAATAATATTACACATCTCTCGCTCAGAAATAATCTTTTATTTCGCACAAACATTTCCATGGAACTTCTATGTAAGTGAGTGAGTGAGAAACATCATACTATGACACCGCCTAATCTATAACCATTAGCAGCAAAGTATACAGTCAATATAGAATAGATATAAACTATAAATAGTTTGAGTCAAATCGAATGCACTCAACCCTTTAAATAAACCATGCCGTTTAAGTTCAATATAACATTTCAGAAATGATTATGGTACAACAAATATATGATTCCTATTTCATTAATATAAGTTTAATAAAAACCCTATTACCTATTAAAGTATTTCAGAATGAATATACAACGCGTTTATTTGTTTTCATTTTTCAGTAAAAAATGAAGTAGGTGGTACAAAGTTCTAATAATCGATACTTAAATAGTTGATCATTAAATTTCAAATTAGAAATGTCAAAATTAATTTTATGAACCTATTTGATACAAATATAAAATCAAATCAAAGAAGTAATCGAAAATTATTTAAATACATGCTATTTATTTGTATAGTTAAGACTTGTGGTCGTGTAATTCAAATTTTTAAAAGTAAATAAAGTGGTTAAATAATTTTAATTGAAATTAATTCTTAATTATTTCATGAAATTTTATCCCATGAATCAATTTCTTGAATAGTAAGAAATAAGTAAAAAATGTATGTAAATTGTCATTGATAAGTTGAAAAATCACCTCTTGAGCCATAGTACGCATTTACGATACCGTTGTGTGACTAAAAAAAATAATTTAATTAATGAATTATTTATTTATTTATTAATCTTTTGACATTTAAGTCATTCGTTAATTTTTTTTTTTTTTTTGTTGAACAGTTGATTTATTCAATATAATCATACGATTCACGATAGTTGTTTTATAAAATTTGAAAAAAAAATGGTTAAACCTATCATTAAAACATTTTAGGATATTATAATAAACGATGAGAGATAATTATGATAAAACAATACGAATCGTTATATAATTCTCTTCAGTATGTAGGTATACATTTATAAATTATCCTCTTAAAAGTTAAAACCATCGTCAATTATAATGGATTTTTCGTCATTGGAATGGAATTAAAATAATGCAAATAAATCCATATGGATCAGGTCAGGTTAGGTTACCTAACAAAAATCCCTTATATCATATTGGAACCATCGGTAAAACAACCAATAATAACCAACAAATAATAATTTAATTATGTTTTTAAGGTATTTACTTAAATACAAATACAATAAAATTGTCTAATATATAATCTACGTATTTTTTTTCAAAGTGAGCGAAAATTATGTCACATCAGAAGTAGCATGCAGAAGAAGCAAACAAAAAATGCACTAATTAATTAAATATGAGTACAATAAATACCTAATTAATTTATTACAATACTTTAAGAGGACTTTATTTTTTTTTCGAAAGTTTTAGTGAATGAAAAAATGTTGAAAAAGTCGTTATTTATAAACGGTAAATTAACTGTTATATTCGAAGGAAATGGAAAAAAACGCAACGTCTTGTTCCCATGAATATTTTCCCTTTTAATTTTATAATAGGTGTTTTAATTCTAAAATAAAAACTAAACGTGTTTCGTGTAGTCTGCGTAAGCATGTTTTAACTATAATCGTCCGTTTATAAAACGGAAACAACAAATGTATGTGCAGCGTCTTCTTAATTCTGTCAATGCTATCAACGCACCGGTGTGTCAGAAAAACACAGTCTACAGGCTATTGACGCATTAGTGCGTTTTTGATAATATATTGTTATTTAATAATGATAAGTATATAGTACTGATACTGTCATCTAGTTTTAATCGAGACAAATACAACAGTATCATTTTCAGATTGTAATACAATTTCCAAAGAAGTTGTATGCAAATATAAAATTCGATCTTACCAGCGGATTTCAATATTGTGTTTGTCAAATATTTCTACTATCGTTTTTTTTGTTTTGCCCCTTATTTTATTTTGCATTATTTGTACATTACACATCGATGATTTATGAGTTATTACTATTAGTTACTATTAGTCTCCTATATTATTAGTTATCTACTATATAATCTAGTTATGCAGCACGTTTCAGAATTTTTTTTTTTTTTAATTTTACGTAAGTGATAAAATAACTATGGATTTAATAATTAAATAATTATACAGATTTTAGGAACGAATACAATAAAATTATTAATTACTAAGTAAATAATTAATATATTTAATTTTGTTTTTTATTTAGAAATTATTTTGGAGGTACTATGCATTAATTACGAGTGGGCTTAAGAAGGTAGAAAGAATAAAAAAAAGCTGGGCTTGTGGATGTTCCATAGAAAAACTTGGTTGGTCATTTAAAGTTCGTGTGAATTACTCATTCACGCCCATTCTATAGGTACTATGCAATTATATTTACTTCAAGCGTAAATCATTGCTTAGATTGTCTATATTTACACCGTAATTTAACCAAATATGAATCAAAATCTTATAAACACGAGAATTAAAAATATATTTTAGAGTTATAGTTAAATAGAACACATTATATATAACATTCATGTTCATAAACAAAAAGAATACGGATATATTTTTATTCATGATATGTTATACAACAAAACAAAACATTATTTTATCAAGGTATACAAAAGATAATAATATCGTTTTTAATTTTATTTATTTTATGTAGTTGTATATTATATAGTATGTAAAATGTAAAAGTGAAATAGGTATATAATTACAATATAATTTGATATTTTTTTGTAATGATTTGAACTTAATAAGACACGATTACAAATCAATACGATTATCAAAATGACAATCAGGAAATGAAACTCAAGGATAAATGCAATAATGATTAGATCAGTTGTGAAATAATCGAGACGATTTTTATAAAATTAAAAACTTATTAGGTAACAATTTAAAAACATTGGTATATTATAATAAACAATAGATGATATTCATAGTTTTTTTATTTTTTAATATTATAATATTATCATGAACAATAATATTCATTGGTCTAAATCGATTAGTTAAGAGTCTATATTTATCTGCATTAATCAATTAACTGGGTGATATAATTTGTTACAAAAACACAGATAATATAGGACAGTGATGGTTTATCATAGGTTTCACAATATCTATATATTACAGGTTAATCATAGAACAGGAAAATAAAATCTTAAAATAATAATGCTAATTTGTCATTACAAAATGTTCTTGATAAGTAGGTACTTTGAAATTTAAATTAGGCATTGCTAAACTTTAATGTATTTATGGTTTGGTTTTGAAATTGTTTCAATAACCGTAAGTATTTCAAATTAAATAAAAAACAGAAAAAAATTGTTATGACGGTGACTCCTCCCTACAACAAAATTTTAATTATGAATTATGTATGATATACTGGCTTTGAATTTAGGCTTAAAATGTTAGGCAAAAAAAAAATGTTAGGTACCAAATCGTTACAAAACATTAATCATTTGCATGTGAATTGCGTGAAAGGTTAGGTGGGAATTTCAATTCTTTATATCATTTCGTTTAGTAGATATAGAAGCCTTTGCCAGAAAAACGGACCTGCAGACAAGAGAGCTAGGCAGATTTCCCACAACAATAGGGTACCTTTAGAGTCTATGAGGTACGAAACGTTAAAAAAGATAAGTTTAAATACTATTAAACCCGTCGTTACAATCGTGAAGTAAAGAAATAAGCGTTTTTACATTCTATGCGAACTAATCTATAATATTTTCCCGTGATATTTTTCATTGGTTTTTCATTTAAGGATTTTGATTATTATTTTTTGCGCAGTTTTCTTTTTATATACTTATATTTTTGTTAATTTTTCAAAATCAAGTCTGTGAAAAAAAAAATGTCCGTTCACGGTCCCCCTTCCGTCGTTGCATCGTTTTGCATCATCAAATAAACTTTGCAAAATGAAAATTTATATACGTACATAATATACCTCTATACATTTAGGCAGGTATATATTATATTTCCGTTCTACTTTTTCGCTGAACATCAAAGAAACATTTTTCAATTCGAATGACTACCGGTAAAACGTGAATTATTATTACTTCCGAAAGGGTCGGAGTTTGGGATGGTGGAGGGGAAGGGAGGACTGATTTTTTATCGACGTCTGAGTTTTCATTTTATTGTTTTCAAAAATGCTAAAACTTCGCAATTTATTGTTATTATGTAACCGTTATATTGAATCAATACATAGCATATTGTTATATAATCTTATCGCTAGTCTATATAAAGTATATCTGATGTTTGTATATAACGATTGTATGTTTTTATCTAAGACCTGAATCCGAACGCTCGGGATAGTAATTATTTTATAAACAATAACGTTTTTTAAACTACTCGACAGGACATAATTACAAGTATCTCTTCTTATATTTCTTCTAGCCACAAAATCGAATTCTAGAACCACACGTTCTGTCGTCCAGCCATCTCTGTAACTAATTTCTGTATATTTATCCGTGTTCTTTCTTGTATCTTTTGACTACATTCGCCACTTTATTCTCAGCCTTCCGGTGAATCTTTTTCTGGTCCAAGTCCTTTTCAAACAGTACTGTACGCAGTAAACCAATGGATTTTACATTTCTCAGCTTACCTGATACCTGTCGCATTCTCTTATTTTAATTTATGAGTAGGAGATAATATTTACTTTACCTACCAATATATTTACTAATCCAAAGAATAATGATATCGTGTGAAAAAAAAATTGTGTAAATATATAGATACACGAATTATATAAAAAAAATAACTAAAAATTTATTTTTGATAATTCATATTTAAATTGTTAGATTTATATATTATTACATATTATTAAACATTATTTTTACATTAATTGTATATTGGTTTATTAAAAAAAAAAATTAAAATTCCCAGAAAAAACATGTAAATCCTGCGACTTCTTTGTGCTCTATTTACTATCAAAAACGAGCATTTATTTTGCTTCTCTCAAAAGGAAGATGAAGAGGAGGGAGCGTTTACGTATTGAAATTTTAACGAACCACGCTCAAACGAGCACGCGTCTAAAGGAAAAGCGCTAACAAAATATTACGATTGAAAGTAACAATAATGAAACGTTTGAAGAAAATACGTATATTTTTGAAAAATACGCTCGTCCCGGTGATTGTGATTGAAATTAAAACTTTCGAAATATTTGTAAGATTTAACATTGTAATTGTGAAACGCCAATCAACCGAACGAGGAATATATTCCCAACGTAAAGGTACCTATAATATTTTATTCAGGCAGACATGAAACGAAACGGGCTAAACAAAATA